TTGGCATTTGCTGAAAAGGGCAATACTGTAACGTCAGGAAATGCTGATTGGCTGGACAACTACTTCACATTGCCTGTGGGAATGGAAAATAGCACTGTCAGAACATTTACATAAAGCATTCCTGGTAGCAGAGGTCTGTCAACCCTTTGGATCAAAGTGACCCTTCTGGCCAGGTCCCAGCTGAAGAAAACACAAGGTTCAAAGGTTCCCTCAGAACTAGTCCAACCCTACTTTGGTGAGTCCAATGGGGATCCCTTCTTATTTCATGTGACTTTTGCTCCCCAGGATGAGGTGCATCCTCCTCATCCTGGAGTCACCTTGTCTTCTCTTTGTCACTTCCGCCAATATCGAGGGAATTCTGGACTTTTTTTTTTTGCCCAGGTTGGAACCCAAGTTAAAATGGGGAGGAGTTGACTTTTTCCTGCTGGAAGCTCCAATGGTGAGTGAATTCAGCTGGTGTAAAAACCTAGTATCTCTTCCCAGGGGACAGTGGGTGTGCTTCCTGAACAGGAGGGCCCCTCGTGTCAACTCCAACCAGCTGGGGCTCAAGAAAAGAAGAGCCCGAGATCGGAATCATAATCCAAGGGGATAGATACAGTGGTGACTGTTACAGGTCCTGGGGATAATGTCCACAGCTGTAAATCTGGGCCACACTCAGGGGAGTGGCATAAACCTTTCAAGGGGAAGATCAAAGAGTTGATCTTTTAAAAGTATTTTGGAGTTGGAAATAGTTTTAAAAAGTCAATCTAAAAATTAATCCAAACTGGGTCACACCTCACAAATCAGGCGAGGCTGTTTAGGACTCCCAAAAAAGATATTGCCTCTGTCCCTACCCATGGTGTTGTGGAGGATTTGGCATGAAGCACTGCTCACCCCTGGAAACACGTTCCTCATGCTTGGAAAAGCTGCCCAAGGGACCCACTTTCCTCTCCAGTCTGCCAGAGGCAGCAAGTTTATTTTGATTCCCACATAGACCCTATTCTCCATTCACCATTACTACTCAAGTTTGGATTCTTCAGAAACTTGCCTCTAGCTTTTGAACATTTTGCTGCCATGTTACAGGGAGCAAGAACTCAGCAAGCAGTGATGGTGTGCCCACTGAGGTCCATGCATGGTGCTGGGGGACCAGGTACCGAGGTATGAGAGATACCTCAACAATGCACACACATTCAACGCTATATGAAAATGGACCAACCAAAGTCAGTTCAAAGTACTTTGGGAACAGAGAAAGGGAGAAATTAATTCTACCTGAGAAAGGAACATGTAGTCATACACACACACACAGTTTAAAAACTTTGGTGCCAATTCACATTAAAAATAACGACTAAAAGGATTTTAAAATTACTTCCATGTGTCCTATTATCTTTGAGGAATGGATGTGCTAATGAAAAAGGGCACATGAATTCTCATTTTAGATGTCAGAATTCTGAAAATTAAGACTATGCAAAGTACCCAGGTAAATACAGACTTTTCGTGAATTTCCATGGTATTCAGATACAGCAAATGCACAATGAGTTTTGACAGAAAGAGAAGGGACATACTGTATGGGAAAGAAAAGAAAGAGAAAGGGAAAGAAGAGGGGAAGGAGAAGAGGAAGCGAGGACCCCCTGCAATGAGTCTGATGTTTGTTCCATCCACTGAATAGCTATATATTTGTTGTGTTGTTATATGCTGTTGAGTCAGACCCAACTCATAGCGACCTCTCTGTGAGTTTCTGAGGCAGTATCACTATGGAAGTAGTTGCCCAACCTTCTTTCCGAGGAGTGGCTGGTGGGTTTGAACCTCCAGCCTTCTGGTGAGCAGTCAAGTGCCTTAGGCACTATGCTTACCAGAGCTCCTATCTATATATTTTATGTTTTTTAAACTTCATTTCTTTGAATCTAAAAACAAAGTAGGAGAAGATGATCTCTAAGATCACTCTCAGTTTTAAATTCTAAACACTTGTATTGTGAAATATTTGAGAATTTAAAAGTAGGTTCCCTTAGCCCGTCTCTGGCCCCATCACTCACAGGCTCCACCTGGCAGTGTCAGGGCTAATCTCATCATGCCCTTTACTCATTTTGAATGGGCCACCATATGCTGCTCCAGATGCCCTGTCATCCTTCACCCTGTTCCTATAGAGATCTGTACAGCCCTTATCCTGTCCCCATAACAGAAACAAAACAAATTCACTGCCATTGAGTTGGTCTTGACTGACAGCTACCCCTCCTTGGGTTTCGAAGGCGGTACCGCTACAGAGGGAGGTCTGGTGATGTAGTACCTAAGGCACCTGACCACTAAGCAGAAGGCTGGCAGTTCAAATCCACCAGCCACTCCTCAGAAGGAAGGTTGGGCAATCTACTTCCATAGAGATACCACCTCAGAAACCCGAGGAGGGGTCGTTATGAGTCGGATCCAACTCAACGGCAGTGAGTTTGTTTTCGTTTATTTCTACGTAAGGGTTTGGACCACCAACCTTCTGCCTAGCAGTCTAATGCCTTACGCACTACCCCACCAGAGCTTCTACTGAAAGCCTTGCCTTGTGTGCTCTGGTGCATATGGTCCATCATTATGAAATCCAGATCCTCAAATGCTCCCCTGAATGCTTCCTCACTTGCTTGCTCTAACCAACATCTGGATCTCCTGAAGACAATGCTTCCCTCATAACCTCTCACATAGGTCTGCTTTTCTCCCACAGTCCTCACACACTGGGTAAGTCCCTTCCTAGTCCCTCATTGCAACTAACAGGACATTTTCTCTCCTCAAAACACCCAGGTTTGACTCTCATGTCATCAGACAACACTGCCGACTACCCCTCCTTGATGCAGTCACTTACTGACCCCTTAGGTTACGTCCCCTCATTTTTTAAAGAAGAAATGGCTCACCATTATGTACTGCCATCCACTTTAAAGCAATTTTAAATCTTAGTGATTTTAATTCTTCCAGCTCTCTGGCCTCTTGGTTCATTGAACCCTTCTCCTCCAACACTCCTCTCCTCTTTCTTAGTCACTCAATGGTCCAAATATGGACCATCAGTAATACTTGCAACCTCTCCATCATTTATTTTCAACCACCCCACCTTCTGACAACCACTTCCATCTTTCCAGCTTATACGCATTCTTTATTAGGTATTATAATACACTGATTCTACTTTTTTTCTTTTTTTTTTTTACATTTTTGACTGGTGCAAAAGACCTCTTTAAAGTGCTGATGAATAAAGATGTCTCTTTGAAGACTAAGGTGTGCCTAACCCAAGCCACAGTACTTTCAATCGCCTTTTATGAGAGCTAGACAATGAATAAGGAAGACTGAAGAAGAGTTGACACTTTTGAGTTGTGGTGTTGGCGAAGAATACTGAAAGTACTGAGGACTGCCAGGAGAACTAACAATCTGTCCTGGGAGAAGTATAGCCAGAATGTACCTTGGAAGCAAGAATGGCCAGATTTTGTCTGACCTACCTGGTCATGTTCTCAGAAGGGACCATTCCCTGGAGAAGGATATTATGCTTGGTAAAGTGGAGGGTCAACAAAAAAGAGGAAAGTCTTTAATGAGATGGACTGACACAGCGGCCACAATGATGGGCTCAGGTATAGCAAGGTTGTGAGGCTGGTGCAGGATCGGGCAGTGTTTTGTTCTGTTGTGCATAGGATCAGTGTGAGTCAGAGCTGACTTGACAGCATCTAATGACGACAACTCCCCATTCAGTTTAAATGCCTGGATCAATCATTAAAATCACTCAGTGCTTCTTCCTCATCCCCCTTGGTTCTGCTCTTGAACTGCTGTGCTCTCTTGAATAAACCTCAACCTCAGCTCTGGTTAAGTCCAATACTCGGCCTCCTGTGGTGTCTATACTCATGCAGTTGAATGGGGCCAGAGAGTAAGATACAGCTCTACAGACTGGTCTCATGTTAAATTCATGAGCAGACACCTAATGTACGCCTTTAATGTTGCCTAGTCATCTTCACTCTATTTTCCCAGTCCATCTGTTCTAACGTACAAACATCTATCACACATCCTCCTGTCCCTCCTCACACCTCTGACAACTCCTCTAGATCTTCACTTCCTGCTGAAGTCCCAGATTCCCAAGACCAACTAAGAAGCAATCAGAACCGGGCACTCATAAACTCTCCCCAACACATCCACAGTCTACTTCATATAGCCATGCCTTCCCTTCTGTTACTAAAGACAGACCTCTTGTGCTTCTAGTTAAGATCCTAGCCTCCCTTGCCAAGAAGACAATTTGACTCAGAAGTTTCACTCTTTCAAAAAAGACTGATAAACAAATTCATCAAAGAAAATGTTCTCCAAAGATCTGCAGCCTTATGACTCATCATTACTAAGAGTACCTGACAAGGAAAACAGCGGATGTCACAAGGCTATAGCTGCCAACAATTCTCAGCAGATCTTTAAGTAAAAAAATTATTCATCCCCTGAATGTAATATACCACCTTTGCGGCACCAGTTAATTTTTTTAAAATCAATTTTCTGTGCTAGTTGCTTTAGCTACATATATATTTGGGAGAACAGTGGCTGATCATATTTATCCTGGGTACTTTGCATAGTACATGTTGCTACTGTTAGTCGCTGGCACATTGGCTTTGATTCACAGTGAACTTATGTGTAACAGAACAAAACACTGCCTGTCCTGCACCATCTTTGTGATAATATGTTTTCAGTTCATACATAGCACATACAATGCCATTAAACACGTTAGAATACAAATGACCAAGTATATGGTATTTTTGGCATCTGAAGAACTGGCTTTGGAAGGATCCCTCCTTAGACTGACAAACTTCACGCTGAATCAACTAGCATTTAAATGTCAAGGAAGTTTTCTTATTCACACGGAGAATAAAGCAGCACTAAAATCATCGGTAGCTAATCTGCTTAGTCTAGGTTATGATCAGCAACATTTGAGTCAATCAACTCATTAACTCTTACCTGTGGCCTGCTGGGGAGATTTGCTGAAAGAGAAAACAAAATAAATCAATTGAAAGATGTACTATTGCTTTGCTGGTTCTATGTTTTCAGGGGTGTAACTCTGTGGAATGGACCACTCCACTCAGAGTAGGGTAAGAGCCCAGCTGTTAAATGGAAGTTAATAAGAAGCCATTGTTTTCGGGGGTGGGGTCTTCTTTAACAAGACTAGATTCCTCTAGTTAGTTTCTCATATCCTGTATGCTTGAAGATGCAAACTTTCTACTAAAATATGTAAAACATATGCTGGCTCTTTCAAATAAGTACATACTAAAACATTCAGTGAGCATTTAGTTTTGCAAAAATATACCAAAATGTCATATTTAAATTTTATCATGTATATTCTATTGCAGTTCTGTATAGTTTGCTAAATAGTACAAATTCTGACAAAGGTGTCATCATGAAAACAAAGGGGTAACCTGGTCTTTGGTCCCTGTCACCCTTGTCCCAAAGTTGGGAAGATGGTGGCCAAGTGCTTATATCAAGGAAACCAGCTGCTGTCCATTCGACTTTGACACATGGCGACCCCATGTGTGTCAGAGTAGAATTGTGCCCCTCTCCATAGGACTTTCAGTGGCTAATTTTTTGGAAGTAGATCACCAGAATTTTCTTCTGAGGTGCCTTTGGGTAGATTGACTACTAACCTTTTGGTCAGCAGGCAAGTATGTTAACTGCTTGTAGCACTCAAGGACCTCCTCCATCAAGGAAAAGGCTGGGCTAATCTTAAACAGCCTTTTGGGCACTTAGGCTAATAATAGTGCCTGGGGCAGGCCACTTCAGAGTCCAACTATAGTACCTAATTGGCCTTTGCACCAGTGCCGCTGATTCCTTCCTGGTCCCAGTGTCCAGGGACAGGGAAGCCATCCTGAAGGACCTCTCCAGGGCAGCTGCCACCAACTCTCTCCTCAAGTCTCTGATTTTCACCTCCCACTTTCACTGCACACTCCTAACACTATCGTCCTGTGCTCAGCTTAGAAGGAAAAAGAGTTCTGCCCACCAATAATGATAATATTTGCTCTGGGTCAAATATGAATAATCTCAATTATGTAGGATGTGGTACCCCTTTCATGTCCCATTTTTCTATGCTCAACAAAAAAGACCACACGTAGCTGCCTAGAGTTTAGTGAGAAAGAAAAATGTATGAAAGGTGACCCTCGTACAGTGTGAAGAGAAAGTGTGTGTGCCTCAATATCCCGGGAAGAAATAGGTTAAAACAAACCTAGTCCTACGAGGTGTTCAAGATAGCTTACTTGAATTATTATTTAGTATATCATGGGTTTAAGAAGCTGTTTTGTGAGAGAAACATGTGATAGTTTGCTTCCATAAAGATTTATAGCCTTGGAAACCCTATGGGGCAGTTCTACTCTGATAGGGTTGCTGTGAGTCTGAATCAATGGCAAAGAGTTAGGTTTTGGTTTTATACCCAGGGTTTTAGAATTATGCTTCTACTGTAAGTAATAAATATAACAAATAGCCTAACCCTAGACAGAAATTTAATCCATTTTCCTCCAAACAAATATTCAAAAACCTATAGCTTTTTATCAAATAAAAGGCTATGAGTACTCCTCTTGAACAAATTATATCAACAGGTTTTTAAAGGCAATTATTGCATTTTAGTAGGTTTTCAGTTTTAGATGACTGTCACTCAAACTTAATAAACATAGCCAACTCACAGTGAAAACATGCCTGTGGGTCCAACACACTTTAGTCTATAACAGAAAAAAATACCCAGCTTATTACTGGAATCCCATACATTTGAATGGCATACATGATAAAACTGACAAAATAGTTTACACTTTAAAAAAAAAAAAAGATCCCATCAGTCAGTGGAAATGGCAGCAGGCATACTGGATAAGAGTGGCACAATTAAGTTTCCATCACTAACTCTTTCTCAGAAAGATGGAAGTACCTCTGTGCTCTGAAACTCAATGCAAATAATTAAAATAAGACTTTCAAAGGCCATAATTCAAGGATGCAATCAGGACCAACTGGGATATTAAATCAAGAGGCAGGCATTCTAAAATGTTACGTGAAACGATACATAGAAACTGAAAAAAATAAATAAATAAATAAATAAATAATAAAACCCATGTTTAAGTCAGCAATTCACACAATTACAACTTATGAAAACAGTTTCATTTTAATTCTAAGACTTCCAGGAGTGGCAATTCACTTGTGGCCATGCTAATTTTTAATCCACAGTGGATCAAAAGTCAAGATTAATGCAGATCAATTCATTGTAGTTGGTGACAAGTAATTTTAAAGTTCTCATTAGTTACAAGGGCTCAAGGGATTGACTTGGCATTGGGAGGGTGCCAATCTGATTTGCTAGGATAAATCCTCCAAAGGTGGTCAGTAAGCTTTGCGAACGTGAAAGGCTTATTAAAATATCTGCTAGCTGTGCAACTTAAAAGGGGCAACAACATGAATGCATCTTACAGGACCTTCTGAATACTGTCTGCATAAGCTTCAGGAACTAAGCCTTCCCAACCAGAAAATGTCATCATTTGTTGAATTCAGGAACATGTCCTGACACCAACTCTATGTCAGTGCTCATTTCTATTCTGCACTAAATTTAAAAGCTTTCAACTTGTTAAGTGGCATTTAACAATATGTGTCAATTTTATAAATTAAGCCTCTTATTTTCATGGAAAGTTGTCTTGACCTTGGAGATTTTTATATTATCAAAACAAAATATGGAATATAAATACCAAGATGGGCAAACAAAACCCAAACTAATAACAGAACTTCAGAAACCAAAAATAACATCTAAATTTCAAAGGATTCTAACACCATTCATCATCCTTTACATGGGACGGACTTGAGCTCTTCAAACTAACACACGGCTAATAAAGTTCATACACAGAAAATTACAAATATTTGTCAATGTAGAAACATCACATTGTGAGAACACAGTGCCAGGTTCTCACTGAGTGGTCTAGTGTTCCAGACCCCACCCTCACAACTGTGAGTGACACAGGTGGCTGGGACACAGTGCAAAGGAACACTTCAATCTCTGAGATGTGGGTCCCATCTGAGATATACAAACTTTTATATATATTCATGTAGATTAGTAGCTAATAAGATTCCCTACCAAAAGGAATTTTTCACTTGTCTTCAAAGAGAGGCTATAGAAGAAATGAGCAAACTTAACTCTTAAAATTCCTTTTGTCCTATAATTATTATTTGTTTGTCTTAAATTATATTAAGATGTCATAGATCAGCCTTTTACAATATCAAAATATCAGAAAGATTTAAGAGTTATCACTTTAAAAACTGACCTTGTAAAAAAAGACACATCATGAATTTTTAGTATAAATTTTAACATGAAAATTTTACACTTAGTATCTATTACAAAGCATATATTTCAACAAATTTCCATCCTAGCACTACTGTCAGCTGACTTTCAAATGAAAATGTCCACCATGATATTTAAATAAAGACTTCTAAATGGACTTTGATTTATAAAATTTGTTCTTAACTAATTATTCATATATTTTGATGCAAATGGAACTATAAAGCTATTTCATTTAGAAATTTCATTTTGAAACTCTGGCTTATAAGGACTATGATGAGGTTTTTATCTAGTCATTGAACAACATACAGCCCAGAATCACAACTTCTAAGAAAATACAACCTTGAAATACAGTCAATATAACAGATTTAATCTGTTCATCTATTATAGAGATTACAGAGCCTACAAAACAATCTGACAGCATGTGGACGTCAACTGATCCCCTTAAGCTTTTGTGAAACTCTCCAGAGTCAAAAAAAAAAAAAAAAGAAAAGTGTGTGTGTGTATAGGTGTGCACACATGTATCTTCTTTTCTTTCAGGGAGAGGGTAGGGAATGATATACAGGGAATATGATCTCACAAACACTGAGAAGCAGAATAGTTGAGTGACAAATAATAATCTAGAAAATGGCATGCTCACAAACATAAATGCATATATTTATGAGCTTCTGGAAATTGCAACAGGCCTTTAGGCAAACATTCCTGAAAATTCAGAGGTGAATGTATTTCAAATAGTTATTGTCACATCCTGCTAATGATGGCACTTTATAAACACTAGAGTAATGTAAAATAAAGGATAATTTGTAACTCAATCAATGTATCTTTTTTATCTATACTCCTGATGATATCTTTTTCCTCATTTAAGATATTGTTTATGAAGTGAGAATGGGAAAAAGTGAGATGAGTAGCTGTGTATAATACACACACTCCTCACTTATCCACACAATTAGGTTCCAAAGACCGGGCCAGATGTGAAAATTGGCATTATTGAACATGGAGGATGACCACAGCGGATCACAAAATAGAAGGTGACTATATCATGACGTAACTGCCCAATTACACCATTACATAACTGCCAAACCACTGAGAGTCATGGCTCAGTCAAGTTGGCACATAATCTTGACAATCACAGCCCGTGTCGCTCTCGCTTCACACCTCCGCATCATTACTGCAGATGTATGTTATTAATGTGCAAAACATTCTGATAGGAGATTTTTAAAATATCAGATAACAAGAAAATCAGTAAGTGAGGAGTAGGTGTATCTGTTATTTATCAAGAAACAAAAACTCATTACTGTCAAGTCCATTTCAACTTATGGTGACCCCATGTGGTACAGAGCAGAACTTGCCATAGGGTTTTCCTTAGCTGTGATGTGTAGGAAAGCAGATCACTAGGCTTTTCTTATACAGAACCAGTGAATAGATTCAAACTGCCAACTTTTCAGTTAGTAGTCATGTACAAACCGTTTGTGCCACCTAGGGACCTTATATATGTATATGATATATAGTACGTATGTATATGATACATACACATGCTAAAATATTAGTTCAGTTGCTGCCTAGATTTGAAATAATTTTGAGAGGAAATCATCCTAAAATTATAAATAATATCTTTATATTCTTTAAGAGATTATTTCAAATATAATTATAGCATTAAGTAGCTCTGATGGCATTGTGCCTAAGACATTTGACTGTTAACCAGAAGGCTGGTGGTTCAAACCCACCAGCCACTCCTCAAAAGGAAGGTCGGGCAATCTACTTCCATAGTGATACTGCCTCAGAAACCCAAGGAGGGGTAGCAGTGAGTCGGATCCGACTCAATGGCAGTGAGTTTGGTTTTTTTTTTTTTTTTGGTATGTATACAAAAATAAACTTTAACAGCAAAAGCATTCTAGGCAAGAACTCAGCAGAGTTACAAGACAACAAGATGCTAAAGACCAAATATTTGAAAAAAAAAATCAATAAATAAGAATCATGATATAATTTCCCCCTTGGATTCGGACTCTCTTTATTTGGGTATTTTTGGGCCCGTTTGTTCATACAGAAAATTCACAGGATCATGAATTTGTGATGCCTTTAAATTGTTTGGTATTTCTACAACAACTGTTTTATTCCACAAGAAAAGAAACCATTGTTGCTGTTGTTATGTGCTGTCGAGTTGGACCCAACTCATAGTGACCCCTCCTTGGGTTTCCAAGGCAGTATCACTATGGAAGTAGATTGCCTCATCTTCCTTCTGAGGAATGGCTGGTGGGTTTGAACCGCCAGCCTTCTGGTTAGCAGTCAAGTGCCTTAGGCACTATGCTACCAGAGCTCCCATTAGGAAGAAAAAAAAAAAAAAAAAAAGAGGAAAACCTGAAAATAATACCTCTCTGCACCTGAAACTGATGACATTAGAGAACAAGGTCCGAAGAAAGAGAGGGGATTACATCAGAAAAGGCTCTTCTCCTGCCTTGTTTGGCATGCCACTAAAACCTCTTCTTTGAAATACTATGCTTTTCTTATTGAAGGCTGGACTGAAGAGGTAATTTCTTTTTAAACATAGAGTTATTATTTCGTTTCCCCTCATTGTATCACTGCCAAGGCATATTAGACAATCTCAAAGAGCAGAATGGCATTGTCACTGTCTCCCAGGGATGTGATGGTATCTCGGTGAAGCTTCATTTTCTTCGTCAACATATACAATGTTGGACTTATTTTCAAATAATATTCAGTCCTGTTTCTAATAGAAGTTTTTGTTATGTTATCAAAGAAGACGAGGGGCACCATGCAGGATGAGAAAAAAGGAGAGAAAAAGGGAAAGAAAAGCACAGCGCGGGGCTCAGGACCGCTCATACTCACGACAGCAAGACGGGAACGTGCTGTTGATCTGCTCCATGACCTCAGTGAGGTCGGTGCTGGTTTCATGAGGTGGTGCCAACAGGTCTTCCGCCGCTGTGACAGCAGGGACAAAGCACAACACACGTCCTGAAATCAGTGTTCAGCCTCCTAACAAAACCCAGCTTTGGCAGAAAATACTACCATCGGCCTCCACATGTCAATGTGAAAAAGTCTCTCATCGAAAAGGGCAACTTTAAGGAGAAATGACAAAAGTATTGCATATTCATCTGTTGGCAATATCAACCGCATGTAATTAAAATGTGCCAGATGTTTCAGTAGAAAGTATTTATGTGGCAAGGGAACATATAAGAATGAAAAATAAGTCATACAGTCATATCACATCAATTTATTATTGGAAATCTCTTATTTCACACTTCAAGTACTTTTTTCTTATGCGAAAAATACTCTCCCAGGTCCTTTTTCCTTCTTTCTTTCTCTTTGGAGCCTTTGGCATAGGCTAGCTTAACCTGCCACAAAAGTCAAGGTATTTCAAGATACTTTTTGACTTTAGTATGTTTTTCTCTTTTTCCCCTAGAAGGAATAGTTGGCAATTTTTCTTGTTAAAAAGAACGAATGCAATAATATTAATATTTTAGTTCTTCTTCTGACTAACATATTTAAAAATATCTCACAAGCAAATTAAGTTGGTTTAAGTATGTGGTAGAATTTCAGAACTTGACTTTCATCAATACCAAAATGTCATATTTGAGTGCCTGGTCTCCAAAGCCTTTCCAAGCCACAATGACAGGCTGCCATTGAGACCAATGACAGACTGAGTAGGACATCCGAGAGGAAGCTAGAGGGGGTGGCAGTGTTTTCAGGGATCGTGGATGGAGCAAAGGGACGCAAGATTTCAGAGCTGCATCACAGGGAGTGTAATAGGCTTCCGTATTATATTCTGAGTATGTACAAATATGAAATTTTAGTCTTAAGGCAAATAAAATATTAAATAGACTGACTCTCTTCAAAAGAAAGAGCCTACGTTTTTCTTCTTTCACTAAAATTCAGCCCGCTAAACCCACTGCCATCGAGTTGATTCCAACTCATAGTGACCCCACAGGACAGAGGAGAACTGCCTCGAAGGGTCTGATGAGGCAGACTGCCTCGCCTTTCTCCCCCAGCACAGCTGCTGGGTTCAAAATGCCAACCTTTAGTTAGCAGACAAGTACTTTAACCACTCAGCCACCAGAGCTCCTTTTCAATCCACTACTACATATTATAAGCAAGTGTGTTATAGCTAATTATTCCAAAGTTTTTGCTTTTTCATACTGCTCAAGTGGATTTGTATTTATGTGAGATCAAAGACAACATAAAATTCCTTTATGCTCTAAGGAGCCAGTGTATAAGGATGCTATTTATGATTTTAAAAAACAAAAAACAAAACACAACTGGCAGGTCACAGATCAGACTGGGGCAGCTCTGCCTGGAGACACTGACCTGCCTGTTGGGACTGTGGGCCAGGATCCGGATCAAGCGAGTAGCTCAGTGCAGAATGCTGAGGTGAAGCCCAGGGGGAAACACCGTTGATTCGGGGGTCGGATTCAGGCTGCAGTCACGTTCAGAGGAGAAAGCAGAGCAACGGTTCAACTAATCATTAGGGAAACCATTTCCTTTTTCACTTCACCTTCCCCAGCAGGGTAATGAAATCCCGTGGAGTGGTTTGCTTAATGACATTTTCAAATACAGCTTACCATCAGTCAGATGTATGCAATGGTACCAAATGGCCCTCCCTTTCACCTGGGTCCCCTGAAAAACTCATTGGTTATACTGCCAATTGTACTTATCACTGTCAGTTTCAGCCCCCAAGTTTTCCCTCCATTATTTCTATGTCAACCAAGTGAACATGTTACATGAACAAACATGTTACACCAATCTTAAAAATATCAGCACAGCTTTCAATACAGTACTCCTTGCTATTGAGTCAATTCTGATGCATAGAGACTACATGTGTTATAGAGTAGAACTGCCCATAGGGTTTTCTTGACTATAGTCTTAACAGAAGTAGATTGTCAGGTCTTTCTTCTGCAGTGCTGCCAAGCTTTACATTAGTAGACAAGGGCAAACCAGTTGTGCTGCCCAGAGACCTATCTGAATACAGTAAATGTATCCAATTTTGAAACCACAGCCTGTATTTAAAAGCAATATTGGAGAACAGTAAAGAGCCTGATTTTGGCTTCAGATGGTCTGTATTCAAATTTCAGCTCTGCCATTCAGAAACAGTGTAATTCTGGGTAAACCATTTACCCTTCAGTCCATGGATTTTTTTACCTATGAAATGGGGATGATAACAGTGTCCTTCTCCTAGGGTTTTGTGAGGGAGGCGATGGATTAGTATCTCTAAAGCAATTGGAACAGCCTGATACCTAGCAAACACTTTGTAATTGCATTACACTTTGTAATTGATACATCCTTGAAATGGTGATGCATATATTGACAAGAATGTAATCAAATTAGAAAGGTCTACACACTGTACAGGGAATGCAGAAATTACCAGGTTTCTGATGCAGAGATTCCTGTCAAATATATACCAATGGAAGTCTGGTAGTTTTTGCCTGTTTTTACTATGAGAGCTGAATTTCCCATCTACTCTTGGCATTCATGTTAATCATTAAGGGGAGATTAAGAGCTCTCCAGTCTGGGATATACAGAGCCATTTAGATAGCAGCTATCTCTAAAAGAAGTTCTAAGCCATTCTGAAGGCACGAGCCATTAGGCAGTGCTGCCTAATGGGATGGATTGAGTGGGAGGGAAGAGAGAGAACTTCTCTATAACATGGTCCAGTGTTAGGACTCAGTGGTAGCCCCTTTAGATCCTCTAAGCATCACCAAGCATGCCAAGTAAAGGTTTCAAGCATAGCTTCCTTCCTCAGTGATGCCATATTTGTACTAGGTTGCTAACATAAACACTACATACTCTAAATAACAGATTTCAAGAGAAAATTAATACCTCACACAAGCACCATCAGAACCTTCACATTCACAATGCTAATTGTGTAATGTTTTCAGTGCACGTGACGGGCACTGATTTAAGAATTGAACATTCTGAAGACTTACACAAAGCCAGGCCTTGGGCCACTCCTGGAGGACTATTATTCCATTACTGTCTAATGATGCAAACTTTGGAGGCCCTGAAGTAGCCCTTCCCCTTAACAGAGTAATTCTGAAGCAATGAGAGACATACAGAAAAGCAGATGCCACGTCTATGGCCACTGTGCAGGTACTACAGAAACGACAATGCTTTGAATGATTCTGACCAGTTACAGGACACGGATACCAACTGTTTCCTAAAAGATGAGGGAATCACTGGAGAGAAAGTAGTTTCTGAGTTTGATTTAATAAGTAATTCTGGAGATAGGCATTCCTATTACACTGCCTAGGGGCCCCAAATGACGTAGGCAGAGAGAAAAGCAAACGATGACATAAATGCTGAAGTCAGGGACTCTTCAAGAGAGAAGTTCGAGGCCCCTTTGCTGGGGTTGCTACACCTGCAGCTTCAGGTTCTCCTAATTCTATCTGCTGAAGAAGCATCATCATGACTAGTCCTATGAAGGATTCCTCTAACTGTTCTGGGTAATCAAATACCTCCTTCTCTACAGAGCTCTGTGTCTTTATAGATGATACATCTTGTTCGTGTATATCTTTCTTTGATCCCTAGCAAGACTGCAGTCACCCAAAAGACAGGAGCTGTTGCTGATGTCCCTTTCACATGGCAGAGAACATGTTTTGAAAACTACAAGCTGTCACCCACTGGTGAATTATAAAAATCAATTTCGTAGGTCTTGACCACTATACAGAAAGAGCGAGAGACAGGAAAGGCAAAGGGAAGGAAGGAAAGAAAGAAGGGAAAAAGGAAGGAGAGAGATAGAAAATAAGAGGTGGCATCCCTCTATCAGGGTGACTGTTGTCTGGCATTTATCACACATGTATGTATTCATCACATTGTCAACGACGTTAGTTATTATCATGGAAGCTTGAAAGCAACTGCTCTATAACATGGTCCAGTGTTAGGAATCAGTGGTAGCAAATTAATAAACACCTGTCACTTAATGTCTTGAGTAGAGAAGGCAGGAGTCCTGGAGTCAGTGTTCTGAGCTCAGCAGCTAAGAACAAAGATTTAGGGTGGCTTCCTTCCTCCTTCCTCTTTAAGTTTCACAGACTCCTATACGTAATTCATGCAGGTTTGTTACAGGATCTTTTTCCTCAAACTATTCAGAGCGAATATAGCTCTCAATGTTCAAGAAGAATGGGAACTTCTATCTTAAAAATCCTTATCACTAATAAATGAGGCAAACACATTTGTGCCATTCAGGACTTAATGCATATGTTTTAAGGGATGAGAAATGCAATGTGGCCCTCTCTCCTGACACCCAGACCAAACCCTAGGAGCAAGGGCGTGCCGCGTGGGGAGGGGCGCTGCCCTCCGCACCCCTACCTGTTCCAGCAGCTGCCGAAGCCGGTGGAGCTGCGATTCCAGCTGCTTGTTGTGATCTTCTAAAATCTGCATCCTCGCCTCCAGCCGACCTTTGTGCTGCCGGAGGAGCCTGGCTTCTGCTATGAGCTCTGAATCCTCAGATGTGAGATGGGGAGATACAATAGAGTCTGGGGGTGAACCGACAGGAAGTCCCCTTTTAAGGTGCTGCTCTTTTAGCTGTTCGTACTCCACTTGCAGATTCCTAATGCATAAAAGGAAAAAAGGTAATGAATATTGTGTCCACTGCCTTTTCTCCAAATGTGCCTGTCGTTGTCGTCACATACTGTTGAATGGATTCTAACTCAATTTGACCTCATGTGTGCAGAGAAGAAGTGCTGATCCACAGGGTTTTCAAGGTTATGACCTTTTTGAAGCAGGTCTCCAGGCCTGTATTCTGAGGACCCTTTGGGTAGGTTCAAACTGCCAACGTTCCGGCTAGTAGTGGAGCCCTTGGTGGCTTGAATCGCGCAAGGATTCATCCAAATACATACAGTAAAACCTGCGAAAGTCAGAACGTGTGTAAGGTGGTAACCTGTCAGGGGAGGAAAACTCAAATATTTTCCAGTAACGAGGAATAGAAAATGAATGGTAAGAGTGCACCTTGTCAAAGGTGGAAAACTTGTAAGACCTGGAAAAGCAAGGCAGTACCATCAACTTCTGACTCTCACAAGCATCACTGTATGTCTATGGGATCCAAAGTTAGCTCATGCCACTGATTTCCTCTTAACTATGAGCATTTACTTACAGTAAGATGAGCAAGCAAAACAAAATCAGAGCTTGAAGCATATGTCCTAATAGGCATCATCAGTGAATCCTGAAATGCTGCTGTAATCCACAGCCTGCATCCCAGCTTCTTAGCGTCCCCTACAGCTCTGAACCGATCACGATTCCTCAGACAGTCATTCCCAAAAGAGAATGGGAAGGGGTTATATTGAAGTCAATATTAAAGACGTCCCATTGGGTGCTTTTTCCAGGAAGACCTATTTCCTCTCCCAGGGCTACCTTTGCTCTTCCTCCAAGTCAGCAATGATCCGCTCCAGTTCTCCCCGCTCTTCTCTTTCTACCGACTTCAGGATCTGCGCAGGGCTCTGAGGCTGGCTCACGGGGGACTCTCCTCCGAGTGTCTGACAGTATTGCTGGATGAGGGCATGCTCGTCCTCCCTGGGAACGAAGGAAACACACAGAGAGGCTCGTGTCTGGACCTAAGATGTCTCTGGACATAAGGGAGGTGGAAACAGCGATGACCTGATGACTGCGGGGCTAAGTCTGCCCTACAGTTCAGTGTCTCCACAAGCTGCCATTTAAAACTCTAGGAAGAGATTCATCTCATTGTTGTTGTTTTAGCTGCTGCTGAGTGAGCCCACTCGTGGTGACCACATCACAATGGAACAAAACGCTGAGAGTCATGTGCCATTTCCATGAATGGTTGCAGATTGGTCCATTGTGATGGCCCGGAGGGTTTTCATTGGCTAATTTTGGGAAGCAGATCACTATGCCTTTCTTCCTACTCCATCTTAGTCTGGAAGCTCTGCTGAAACCAGTTCAGTGTCATAGCAACATGGAAACCTTGACTGACAGATGGGGGGTAGCTGCACACGAGATGCACTGGCCAGCAATTGAACCCAGGTCTCCTGCGTGAGGACAAGAATTCTACACTGAACCACTACTGTTGTCATATTCACTGAATTGTATATATGTACTTTACATAATACATACAATATCACACAAAGGATAATATAAAGTTAAAATAGGCTATCACACCTAAAATAAGTAATTGAATGCCAAAAGAGTAGACTAAAAGACTGTTGATTAATAACAGGTTGATTTCACTGTCATTAACACTTGGTTGAAAGCATCTTTGCGGTGCTCTGTAACCCATAGGATGGGGTCTATCATAGGTATTTTCTTTTATTTAAATAATTCAGCCCAAATTATAGTCATAGATTTATAAAATTTATTCAGATATTTTACCTGATAGTATCAGCATGTTATTTCTATCCTTGTACATTAAAACAAGAAACTACATTTAATTCACTGGGTTCTACTTCTTGTTTAATGAAGTAGATATATCAATAATGTGGTCAAATCTGGTGACTGACATAATTAGAAGCATAACAAAGTAGACAAAATTGATATGTTTATGGAAAGGCAACATTTATCGGCAGGTCTGGAGTCCCACCTCTTCCTTTATTAGGGAAAACCAGTAGGATGGAGTCTGTCACCCATACATTCTTTTATTCAAATAATTCAGCCCAGATTATGGTTATACATTTATGACTTATAAATATGCAAATGCCAGACAGTCCTGCCATGGATTGCTTTCAGTATATTGTACCTGGCCTGTTTTGGTGGCTTAAGAAAACAGATCTTGGAGCCTATAGATTTACAGGAAGGGCCTCCCAGGAAACCTCATATAAGGCATGTAGCTCTCAGAGTATAAAACGGAACTCGTCCACAAAGAATCAGCTCCTCTCTGTGTGAGTGATGTGACTGCATGTACCCCTCAGAAGCCTGGCCTGTTACACTGGGTTCAGATCGCAGCCTAATGCAGCAGGAAAGGATCTAGTGAGTGACACCAGCAGTCCCAGGCCTCTCCTGCTTCATTCTTGCCTCACGATTACTTGTGCCCTTGAACTTACTAGTGACCTTTGATACTGGCTGAAATCTGATTCTTGTGAGTCTGATTTGAACATCTGGCCCTATGCTGTTGCAGTTTACTTTGATAAAGGAGGGGCACGGAGTTACTTCTGACCTGATGAATTCTTAGAAAAGTCATGTCCTGAGCACTGAGACCAGAGAGATACAATGAAGCAAATGAGGAAAAGTGAGTGTTATGTTTGTCAAACAGCCAAAGCAAAGATTCAAATGAGCTACATGTTGATTTATTTTGCTTCTTTTTATCAATAAATGGTCTATCTATCTATCTATCAATCATCTTTTTAAGAAGGATTATAGACTTGGATGTTGTCCCTGGGTGGCACAAATGGCTTGCTCTGAGGCACTGATCAGAAAGGTCACAGTCTGAATGCACCCAGCAGTACTGCAGAAGAAAGGCCTGGTGTTCTGCGTCCATAAAGATTATGGCCAAGAAAGCCCTAGGAAGAAGTTCTACCATGGAGCTGTGCTAATCTCTAAGGCATGGCTGCCATGAGTCAGAATCAATTTGACAGCAATGCGTTTGTTTTTCAGTTTTGGTACAGACTTGGATGAGATCACAACTAGATACCTCATTTCCCTTTAGCTGCCTCCATCAAATGATTTTAAAAACAGGGGAGGGACCTTTAGGAACATGGATGGGTTAAGGATTGAAGGAGGCTACGGTATTCTATTTTGATCCCCTTTCCTAGAATAATGCAGCCTCACTGGGTAACGAGGGAAGGAGGCTTTAGAAGAACCATGCTGGTTTCTGGGTTCAGAAGGATGAGGGTGAGAGGAGGGAATGGGCACTACACCCCTGCAGAGCAGCAGCCTTTGAGAGCCTATCTAAAAGCTCCCAGGTCCCAGAGAGCTCAATCAGGCAGAAAATCTGGCAGGGGTTTGGGGAGAGGAGTGGTATTTTCCTGACAGGTGCTAAATGGCCAAGACCCTAAAGAGAACTGCTCTGTGAAGGGCAGAAGCAGGCTAAGAGGCAAAGCTGCTGTGACCCCACTTAGCTACTCTGGAGCCTCAGACTCTAAGTCAGTGATGCCTGAGATGCCTTATCCATTTCCCGTGGAGAGAGAGGCAATAATGAAAGAGAATAAAAGGTACAGATTTCATGTATGGGAAGGACAGATGGACGCAGTATAAAGATACATAGTAAAGACATAATAAAGTCATCACAAAGCAAGAGTGTAGTGGAACATTTTATAAATACGGAAAAAGATCTGAGTACAGAATCTGAAAAAGTATGGAATCTCCCCCTAAAAAATCTTAATAATGAAAGAAAAACATTACATTTTATGGATTAAAAAAAAAGCATCACAAGCAGCCAGCCAGAAATCAAAACAAAATAGCAAAGGGAGAAAACGGTTTAACCTCGTACCTCTGCATCATATTAATGTCAAAAGACAATGGAGCAATGTCGAGAATCCTAACATAGCTGGGTGGCCATGCTTATGTACAAAGGATGCTCTTCATCTGTATAGCAAAGAGCAAGCCAGCAAGGGGGAAATCGTATCATGACTCTCATATGTTGGCTGAAAACAATGAATGATATGCTAGCTGTGCATAACCTGGAGTCTCTGGTGCATACACTGTTTCCTTAAGGTATCTGGAAGCAAATTAAGGCCATTTAAACAAAAGTAATAATGAAGAAGTCAATTATGTATAATACACAATTTAGTGGGAGCTCTGGTAGCGTAGTGGCTAAGGCACTTGACTGCTAACCAGAAGGCTGGCGGTTCAAACCCACCAGCCACTCCTCAGAAGGAAAATGGGGCAATCTACTTCCGTAGTGATACTGCCTTGGAAACCCAAGGAGGGGTCGCTATGAGTTGGGTCTGACTCGACGGCACATAACACCAACAACAATAACAACATACAATTTAGTATTAAAGGGTATTTCACAGATTATTAGGCCTACAAGTTAAAAATACATACACTCAAGTTCTTAATTATATGCAGTAACAAACAAGAGCCCCCTTTTAAAATACAGATAGCACACAGATTCCAGATTAGGATCATTAAATGTCAATAGTGTATCAAGTACTAAAATAGAAAAATGCCACAAAAATCTAAGCAACAAAATACCATTCGATGGCATATAATTACATGATCTATGTACTACACATCACTATTATCTAGATTACAAAATGAGTGCACATCAGATGAAAAAAGAACTGTGATTCATTCAATGAACTTTTGAAAGTAAGCAAGACATAAATAAAAACAGTAATTTCTTTCCTTTGAAGAACTGTTTTGTTCCAGGCTTCAGGGTTGCAATCAGCAACTCCAGTGTAAACCATAGTCATCCTCCCAGTCTGACCCTTGCATATAAAACAGTGTTACACAAGGGCACAGAGCCAATGGAGTGGCAACTCAACACGCCAATGGCATCCCTAAGGTGTTGTCCATGAAGTCCTGCTCCTGAGACTCCCAAGGACTGTCCTGCCCCTTCCTGAGATGTGGCCGCTCAAAACTCTTCCTTCCAAGATACTCTTGTGTCCTTAGAATTAATGCCATGTAAATGGTCTAGAGTTGGACTCTCAGGAAGTATGGACTATTGAGAATTGGGCCCATGTAGTGAGAAAAGCCACGAGGCTGGGTCATATTCTAGCCTAGGGAAGTAGTAGTCCATGATTCCTAGAGGAGAAACTACTAATTAACCACCTTCTCAGAAGATAAAAGTTCTAGGTGACCCAGGAATTGGTTCCATACAGCAATTTGAGGGAAGATGGGAAGCCAAATGAAAAGGTGCACTGCAGCTTCTGCAGACACAGAAGACTGAAACTGCCCTGCACAGCTTAAGGAGAGAGGATGGTAAATTCAAGCCCATCTCTCTCATCCCACAGCATGGGACGGATTTAAGGCTTTCTCTTAATGCCTAAAGGTGTGTGACTGAGATCACCAACAAGCAAACTTAAGAGACTGACCTGGCAGGTTACTGAATTACAAAAGCACCTGAACGGGCAACTTCGACAGATCTTTAATGTGAAGCTGGGGCACTAATAAGAAGGGCAGAATCCTGGCCATGGAGTGATGATGTCTGCAGGGAGTGGGTGGGCCTGCAGATCCTCTGGAACACGCCCACCTCAGCTCTCAGAGCTGAGAAAGCCCTCTCTTCCCAGGCAGCAGAGGCATCCCCCTAGGTGGTTGGTTAGAAGCACCACTCGGGCCAGGCTGAGCCTGAATCCTAGCTCTCTGCTTACTGACTGTGAGACCCAGGACAAACTCCTTAACTTCACAGGGCCTCCTATACTTCTCTTTAAAATGGACTCACAAGAGTATACACTTGAAGGGTTTATGTGAGGACTAAATAAGCCAAGATGCAGAAAACACTGAGAACACGTTCTGGCTCACCGTGGGCCCTACACAGAGATGTGAGTGGTGGTTGTTTCTGTCATCACCACCATTAGGAGCTCTGGTAGTGCAGTGGTTAAAGCATTTGGCTGCTAACTGAAAGGTCAGAGATTTGAACCTACAAGATGCTCTGGGGGAGAAAGATGAGGAAGTTTGATTCT